CAGCTTTACAGTAAGCCCATTCAGCGCTCAGAACCAAGAAGATAACACGGCGCCCTTATTTAATAGTCTTCCATGTGCTCTTCTGTTTTATTCCATCGCTAAACAGCGTTAGAGTTGAGAATTAGGACTCTCTTTCCTCGCCAAAAGAAAACACAAGTGGCTTGTTGACTGCAAGATTTACTCTCCCAGATACTTCCAGAGTAATGTAAAATCCTGGCCATTCATCCACAGAAAGGAGCTGGTGGCATATGCCCCAGCTTCCTCTCTGCGTGCAGGCTCCGTGCCCAGAAGGACATCATAAATCACTTATAATTTATGATGAGCCCCGTCGTGTGCTGCAGCCCGCTAGTTGGCTGGTGTCTGTCCTCTACGCTCTGTGACCTCCCTTCCTCAGAGCGTACAGAGACTTTTTCAGATGAGCCATCGGACAGAGAGTGAGGATTTTCCCTTCGGCTGGTCCAGCCAAGCGGTTGAGGGGGAAGAAGACAGAAGACTCTTGTTCTTAGAGTTTTGCCACAAGCCATTTGCTTTCTCCTAGATTGGAGTTGGGGAAGGGGCAGAAAACAAGGCCATTCTCATTATTAGCCTATTTCCTTTTATTCAACAAATAACACATATTTTCTACATGCCAACAACCTGCAAGACACTATTGGGGATTCAGCAGTAAACAAAACAGTTTTGGTTCTCATCTAGACTAGACTTACATGAAGTAGTGGGTCCCGTGTCCAGAGGTGGTGACATATTTTGCAGGGTAAGAAGATGGCTAAAGAGGGGAAGGGAAACAAGCTAGTGTACATCGAGTGTGCAGAGAAGGGATTTCTCATGGGGTGACCTTTGAGCAAAGACTTGAAGGAAGTGATGGAATGAGCCGTGGGGGTCTGGGGAAATCTCATCCTGGGAAGGACAGGGGCCACTGAGCAGGGGCCGGAGGGGCTGCAGCAGAGAGAGCTAGGACGGAGTGGTTGGGAGAGGAGCAGCTGGCGGGAGGCCCAGCCTGGCGGGAGGCGTTGCCGAGACCATGCTGAGGAGTTGAGGTATTCTTCAAAGTGAGATGGACAGCTGTGGGAAGTTTTTGGAAGATGGGTCCTTTTCAAAATACCTAAAAAACAAGAGTGTAAACATGAAGTCGGGCAAATGGGGCTGGTGCTTCCTCCACTTCTTAGGGGAAAGAATGGGTGCTGGCATCATCAGGATTGAACTGTCAGAAGGTTAGTTCACCCACTGCAGGGAGCGAAACAGGAAGCCTGGTTGGCTTGATCTTGGTGTAAAAATCTCTCAGGCTTTCTCGGTCGGGATAAAAGTGAGTAACCATGAGCCATTTACTGAACTGGTGACCATCCTTTTCATGGAGAGACCTGGCTGCTGCCTCCAGTGGTCTGTGCCCTGCTGAGTCTCTTCCCCAGTGATATTTTGGTGATGCTACAGCTGGGAGCGAGGCCCCACCATTAGTGCTGTGGAGCAGCTGGTGGGATGCTTGGGGTCGGATTCTAGGAGGTTTCACTAACCCCCTCTGCTCTCAGTGAACACAGAGCTCACTCATGCTCTCTTCCACTCACGGATTGCCGCCTCTAGGCCAGAGCCGTGGGGAACAGGGGCTTGTGCAGAAGTTGCACAGGGACTGTGACTTTGACTCCTCAGGAGGGACACCTTCCTAAAAATGAGGGTGATGGCTAGCCAGAATGGGCTCTGCCATCAGGTGACCATCCTGCGTCTGAAGGCTTTCACGCAGGTGAGCGCGTCTCGGGAATGTGCCTGAAGCGTGTGGCACGTCAGAGCAGAATGACCTCTCAGAGTCATTCCGACGCAAAGCCCTTCTGAGCCTGTGGCCGAGTGTCCAGTGAATGTGCTCTGCAAACACCCAGACGCTGTGTCAACATGAGGCACATATTTTCAAAGATGAGAGTGAGATGCTTGTTCTTCTGGGAGACCCGTGGTTGGAGCTTTGTGCCCCCGTGACATACCTTCCCCGCTCAGTCGCCTGCAGTTGGTTCTCGTCGGCCTGGTACACAGTTATCTGCATTTTGTGTTAAAAATGCGCTCAGCCAGAGACCAAACAAATAGCCAAAGGTATTTGCCTGTCAGGGCCCTTTGGGGAGGTGCTGCTGAAGAAGAAAGCTGTCAGTTTAGGTTCTTGGCCGGAAGCCACGCTGCTGCTTCAAGACTCCAGAATTTACAAGGAGGGATTTTTAGCTGAGATGAGTTAGAAGTAAAGCAACAGAAAACTTAAAACGAAAACGAAGCATCCCCCGGGATCCAGAGAGAAAGGCAGAAGCGAAAACGGGATATGTTCTCGGCTCTCAGGTGAGGTTTAGTGCAAGAGCAAAGCCTGAAGCAGAGATTACGGAAGGGCCGTGATTCGGGTTGCAGGATCGCACAGCCTTTGACCCGGACGAGCTGTCAGTCAGCGCTCCTGGAATCCCGTCCTCAGTTTCCAGATGACGGATCAGAGGCCCTGGCGCTGGAAGAGGCTGCCCAGCGTCGCACAGCCAGGTGCGGGAGCTCTGGGCCTAGAATCCAGGCTCCTGACGAGCGTTTGTCTTTTGGGCCACTTTGCAGAAGCAGCAGACATGAAAAGTTGTTTCCTAAGAGCAGGGCAGACAGCCGCAAGGACTGGACTCTGACTCGGCAGTGCATTTGGTTTCCCGGGATGTGGTCTGATCCCCCGGCCCAGTGGCACTTGCACCTACAGTTGCCCCTGTGTCCTCAAGCTTCAGGAAGCACAGCCTGAACCTCGGACCACCCCCAGCAGTCGGCCGGCGGAGGCCTCCCCAGGCTGCCCCGTCAGAGCCCCGGTCAGGCAGGACTGGGCTCGTACCATCCTGGGGAGACCGCGGAGGTCGGGTCCTTGTGCACTGCCTGCCCCTTCTCCGCAGTGTCCCACAGTGTCGTTGTGGGTCTTGTTCAGTATCCTGGGCAGACAGGGCTTCTCTCCTCTTTGACAAAAGCCTGAACAAATTGAAACTGTATTTAAATAGCAGCACTCTTTCTACATAAAAGAACAGCTCCTGCTGGCCTCCCACCCCCAGCTAACACTGTCCATTGAAGTCACCAGCATTTAAGTGGGCTGCTGGTACTTGCCTCTGGAAGGGAGGGTGGGGCTGCGGGTGGGCGGGAATCTAAGGGAACGGGGAGCATTCAGTGTGTGTCTCCATTTGGACCAATAAGGTGTTAATTATCACTCCTCTGACCATTCATTGATTCATTCATTTTCTTGTTTGTTTTCGTTCTGATTCTATCCCAAAAAATGTTTGACAGAACCTAGAACAAAGAGCACATTTGCCGTAAATAAAATATGAATGGAGTCAGGCCATTGAGAGGGAGGAAACAGACGTCACCCATGAATTGTCATGTGAGATCCGTGTTAAATAGCAAGTTTTATGCTGACCTTTCTGGCAACCGGGATGAAAAGGGAATACACAATTCTTAGTTATCAGAAAGGGGAAAAAATTCTAATTTCTTCAAGAGACTAGCCTTGCTGTCCTGGGGCTCACGGCGTTACTGAACCCTCATGGAGGACTGTCAGGTGCTTGTTCCCGGCCCAAAGTCTACCCCTGCCTCCTGCCCTCCCTTCAAAGTGCCCTTGCTTCAGGCTACCTGGAGCAGCCCCCAAAAACGTGCCTTTATTATCATGAACTCCGTTGTGTGTGTAAGGGTGTGGCTTGGGGAAATGGGGGTTAGTTTAGGTCTCCAAGTTATGTTGTCCAGGGTGGCTCTAGGATTTGCAGGTTATGAGGCCAGGAGTAGGAATTTTAGGGAGGGTCAGAATCTCGTCCTGCTGTGGCAGCCAATCTCCACCAGTGTACCTTTCTTTCTCCCCAAAGAGCCCTAGACACCTTCTCTGCCGCGCCCCCCCTTTTTTTTTTTTTGCTGTGTCAAGGTGCTTTTTTGAATAGGGCATCCGAGGGAAGAGAATTGTACAGAACACACTTTGGGAAATGTTGGCTTAAAAGATTAGTAGATGAGGGGCTGGCCCCGTGGCCGAGTAGTTAAGTTCGCGCGCTCCGCTGCAGGCGGCCCAGTGTTTCGTTGGTTCGAATCCTGGGCGCGGACATGGCACTGCTCATCAGACCACGCTGAGGCAGCGTCCCACATGCCACAACTAGAAGGACCCACAACGAAATATACAACTATGTACCGGGGGGCTTTGGGGAGAAAAAGGAGAAAAATAAAATCTTAAAAAAGATTAGTAGATGACGTGACCCTGTATTAATTTTACACACCTTCTTGGCCCCTGAAAGTGGAGAGTGGAGTTAGCAGGTACATAGATGTATAGGGTTCAGGAACTAATATATACACATCTAAGGTGAATTCTATTGAGGTCCTGCCCTCAGCTCCTCAGTTCCATTCTGAAGTTGTACCAGGAATGTAGATTCCTCCAGAAGAAGGAAGAAACAGTGTTGAGATTCCCATCCCTTTACGTGCTTGTGAAAGCATGAATAAGACTTGGGATTTGTCAGGGGATATACCAGAACATTCTAGAATGTTTGAGTATGGGAAGGAAAAGAGTTACAGAAATCTGATGTTTTGAACTTTTGTAATACATGTTAAGAGAGAAAACACTGGAAAAATAGCCCCTTCCCTCTGAATATTTACTGGCAGCTTGTTTGGTTTTAATGTAAGCATACATATTCTCTACATATATTGCATATTCATAGGAGCCTATGTTTTAGAATGCATCATTACTCAAGAAAGAAATATTTCAAAGTGAGAAGTAGCCTTTATACTCTATAGTTGATATGAAATAATATGACTGGATTCTTGGCCAAAGATTGTCATTTGAAAGACCGGGCACAGTGGCTGGGTTTTACCTCGTGGGCTGGACTTGTTGCCCTTGTCCCAATTAGGTCGACTCCAATTACGTGTTTTGCTAGGCAACTTGGAAAACTTGGGTTTGAGCCCTCGAGTGAGCAGAATGAATGTGCTTAATGCTACTTGGAATGTTTTTCATACTGACCGTAAGCAATGACTTGATTCTTACTTGTGCTTATTCTTTTTAAAAGTATTAGAAAGGAAGATATCCACAAGACAAAGTAGAGAGGAGCTGATAAGAAGGGGAGTTCTTAAGGAATTGCCTGATCAAGGTGAGGAAATTAATCATACGTTTAAAATAATTTGATCCTTCCTTCTTTGGCCTTTCTTTCACTTTCTTTTGAAGTTTAACATGAGCCTGGTCTTTGGGAGAGAAAGCAGTGAGTGCCGTGCTCCGAGAATCTTGCTTCCATTCAGAATGCCTTTGTGGGCTGCAGAGAATCTGAGGTATTCGAGAAGAGAAATTCAATGACTTTTTGGTGAGTCCTTCACCAGATGTCACTCTAAACCTAAGGCTCTACAAAGGTGCCCTGTGGCTGGAGATACAGATAAGACGCAAATGCTGACATGGTTCCTTGTCTTCTCTATTCTTGACCTTCACTCTTTCTGTACAAGTTAACTCAACTGTTTGAATAAATGCCACGTTTTAGTTTGTCGCCTGCCTTTTGGTTTCTTAAGTCAACCAGTAAAAGAAAAGAGAGGGAAAAGAGATGGTAAATGTACCTCTTGTCCCGTCTACTGTATAATACACTCAAATGTGCAATCAATAAGGCATGAGTGGGCAAATTAAATTAATCTGCTTTATACCATCGCTCAAGTAGTTTTCTCAAAATTGTTCTCTTTTCATTCTTTGAATGTAGTCGTCTCTCACCTTTTCACTAACAATTGTTATTTCCAAGCATTTTTTTTCCTACCTCTAATCTTCTCTTTTTTTCTCTATCCTCCCAAGGGAGAATCTTGCTCAAAAAGACAAAGATTACATAGAAACTGAGATAGTCTCTCAAAAAAAGACACCAAAATTTATTTCTCTAAATAGATACTACTCAATAATTTTCATTGCTCCCGCTACTATTAAAACTAAAGGAAATTTTTGTTGCAACGTTGTTGATTTACCTCCTGCCTTTCCCCATCCCACCCCCAGACATTTACTGGGGAGAAGTATTATTATTATACTTTTATAGGAACAAATAAAATGCTATTAATTTGGAACTGAAATAAAAAATACTTCTTTTTTCCTGATGTATGTTCCTTGCAAAGAACTTGACATCGTTTGGCATCCACTATTTATAAATCCAAATGCCATGCTTTTCCAACATCTGAATAATTCCAGAGTGGAGCTAGGAAATGCTTTACTATTTAACTCCTGCTGCCAAGAAAATAGGGAAGTCTGGAGTGAATAATACCATTTTTCTTAAGGCTTCACAGTTTTAGGTATTTTACGTCAATTTCTGGCCTGGTATACTTCTCTTGCTCCATTTTATGAGTGAACTTTATGTCTTCCCTAATTTTTATGTTACTCTGAACCTGTTTATTTCCTGTCTGGGATTTTTAAAACTAAAAAACGCACATCCCTAACTGGGTTTTCCTTGAAGGTGGGCTCGCAGTAGCAAAATTTGTCTCCTCGCTAATCTCTCCGGAGGCGGCAGAGAAATTACGCGGCCACTGAAGACTGAACACGGAGCAGTGACCTTTGTGGGGTGGGCCCGTGCGCTTGTGTAGTCTCTTTTATTTGGAAATATCTTACAGAAAGAAACAAAGTGGAAAAATTTATGATTGAAACTGTTAATGAGTATTAAAGAGATAGAATAAAGGCCTCTTTTTCGTCCAATTAAAAATTGTAGCTAGAAAAGAGCTTAGTTTTTCTAAAGACAAGTGGCAATGGTCAATTCAAAGAAATGCTTAGTATTGCTTAGTTTTAATTCTGCCTAATCTGTTAAAGTATTTTCATGGCAGATGGCAATTTCATATACTTATTTCCCAGAAATATGACTCTGATCTTTTTATTTAACTTTTGCAGACTGAATGTTAAAAGTTTTAAAACATAAAAGAACAAAACAATTTTTAACCTAAACGTAAAGTAATAGGTTTAATGTTTGCGAATCGTAAAGTACTGAATTTTACTTTCCAACTTTTGCACAGTCCCCATAAAGAACTATAGAAATTCCCTAATACTTGGAAGTTTCTGGTGATGCCTATTGTAAATAGAGTCCTTCCTCTTTTTCAGCCAAGGGCTGGAGAAAATAGTTTTCTGTCATTTTTCCAAAAACAATTATCTTGAGAATTTCGGTCTGTTTTCAGCTCTAGCCAGGGACTGGAGGCTGCTGTGCTTGGTGACAACCTCCTGTCTTCTGCCGATGAAGCTTCATTCTTTGCCTTGACCCTCACCTTCCCTGATCTCTTGACAGTGCTTGTCAACTATGCCCTTTATTCAGTGAGCCCCACAGACTTTTTAAATTCATCCAGCTACCCTGGGTTTGACCTCGTCCCATCCCACCCCATCCCTCACTCCCAGCTATTATTATTATTCCTGTTAAATTATCTTTTTTATACCAAGATCTAACTTCAGTCTAAAAGTTCAGCATTTGGACTTCTCTACCTGAGAAGTCCACGGTCCAGTCCATGGTCCTGTCCAAGGTCAGTCCTTGCCTTCTGGTTCTTTCCTTCCATCTTTTCCCTTAGCTCTCACATGAGGGCTTGTGCTGGCAGCTCCTTTCTTTTTCTCCCATGGTGTCCCTTTTAACCTTCTAAGGAGTCTCTCAGCTGTCGTTCCTACGTGATTTTCTCCCCACCTCTGTTCCTCTGTTAACTGTACCCCAAAGACACCTGTTTACCAGAAGGGGGGAAGCCCTGCGCGCTCTCCTGTTCCTTATTTAACCACTTATTTCCGCGTGTGCCTTGTCTCTTGGTTTACTTTAAGCTCACGACCCTTTGCTGAGCGCTCTCTTTCCTGTGCACGCAGATGCTCCTGTAAGACCTGGCGTGCGCCCCTCACCATAGCCTGCTGTCTGGCTCAGCGTCTTCTCTTGCTTCCTTCCTCGAGCTTCTGTTTCACTTACATACGTAAACTCTATCAAGGACTTATTTTAATTCTAAAGTAATACACAAAACAAGAAAACCTTTTTAATAACACACCAATTAATTATTAATATCTTGATTTCTCCTCTGTATTATTCTTGAATTCTATGTTTATTACAAATGTCTCCTTTTTCTCCAGTTATTTCATAGGCTCTAGCTTTATTTCATGCCTCAAAGTAAGTATCTTTCCATGTTATTGGTTATTTCTTTCTATCATGTGATAATCCAGGTTCTTCTTGTGCCGCAAACATTTTATTTTCTCTAGCTTTTTTGATCTGAATTTTAAAAATCAGTTATTTAACCTCCTAAAGAATTTTAATATAATAATGATTAAAATAGAATTAAATTGTCATTAACATGATTTCAATATATTTTTATTACCAACTAAAGTCATAGAAAACAAAGATGAACTTATATATGGGTTACCTAAAAACTGAGAATGTTTATATAAAGAAGTTGTTTTTTATTTTGTTTGGACTTTTCAATTAGTATGTTAGTTTTTACTTTTTCTGAGTCTAATATCTGGATATTATATTGTGTCTCCCCTCCCTCTTTTTTTATAGCAAATTTCTTGAGATTCAATAATAAGAACTAAGAATCTTTTGGTTTCTTTTTGGTTTGAAATATACTCTTCAAAAAATTATCACCTTAATTTATCAAAATAGTTACGATTTACTTGGAATGGCATTGCCTTCAATTATTGTCTATTTTAGTTTTATACAGGAATCAGATTATAGACACCTGGAAGTTAGGACTAAGCAACAATTGCTTTTTCGTTCTGAGCATGACATAATTCCATGTTATGTATTTTACTTATTAAAATGTCATTCTTGTTTTTGTCAAGAAAACCAGTGGATTTTATTGTTGAGCCAAAGCCATTCAATCGTATTTAATGAAGATTTTGGAGATGGTCTCTGTTTTATAATGATTGTCAAAATAAGGTTAATCAAAAGTCGCATTAAAACAGCTTTAATCATGCATTTCTTCAAGTTTGCTAAGTAAAAGCTTCAATTCATTAATTTTTCTTTTACAGTAATAGCAAAGCTTCTTAAAATTTTCCAGTTATGAACTGGGGTTAATCTTTTCAAGCATCACCAAATTGAGTTTCTACAAAATATCTCTCCCTCTAGAAACTTCTAGAAATTGTGAACGTTCAGGGGTTAAATTAGTCATTTATGATTTAGACAACATATTAGAAATTTTATTTTCAGTTGTGATCTTTTAAAAATTCCCCTGTAATTACTTTTTTCCTACATGTTTTTTTCTCTGATGTTTTCAGATTATTATTAGACCAACTTAAAGACTTTCTGGTTAGTTTTATATAACTGTTACCTGAGTACTAATATTTCCATAAATAAGAAAATGAAAGTACAGTTAGCCTTACTATTGTCTTTCCCTGAATAGAGGGCAGCTGCTGTCTTCCTGTGTGAGGTTAACATATGATAGCTATAATATTCTGGAGACAGTGGTGCTTGGAAATTTTCATATTCTTCCACTAATCGTTTGTGTGTAATTTCATTTCATGTTATTTGTGTATTTGCATTCACCTTTGTTTTTGGTGCTTGTTAAAATGTTTATTCCATTTTTCAGATTACTCCTTTTCCCGTTCATTTCTGAAAGACAAAGAAACTCCTCAGTCTTGACTTCAGCAAAACCTAAGCACGAGAAGAGAGGGACTCTGCTGCCCTGGGATGTTTTATAATTAGGATAATTGTTCCGCTGTCTTGAATTAGCACCTGGAAATCCCCTCCGTCTCTGCCTTTCCCCAAGACTAAGGATTTTCTAGCTCTTTCATTTAACTTGGTGAAACAGTACAGCATATATTTGGTTCCCAGGGCCTGAAATATGAACCTGAACCCTACAGTCCTACTAAGTGGAAAACTGGGTTTTAAGAAAGCCATCAAGTTAGACATCTAGGTGTTTCTTTCCCCATTTTAGATGGAGATGTAACAGTTAACTTTGAAAATTCAAACGGGCACATGATACCCATCGGAGAGGAGTCTACCCGAGAGGAAAATGTAGTAAAATCTGAAGAAGGTAATGGCTTTGTAGCTGAAAAAGCACCACCTCTGGAGGAAAAGGCAGAAGATAAGAAAGGTAAAATCAAGAGAAACCCTGTATCGTTTTACTTCAGTAGAGCTCAATGTTGAGAATCAGATCTTCGGCTCTAAAGAATGACCCTAAGACCAGTAGAGAGGAGGTTTGCAATTACAAAGAGAAGAGAAATGATAATCAGTGAAGAGAGATTGGATGATTTCCTCAGGTAGATGCATCCATTTTGTGAGCACATCATTTAATTTTTTATGGAAGAGGGCTAATTAGCAGTAAGAATGAGAAGGAGTGGCCTCTGCAATCATTAGAGGTGTCTAAGAATGCTATCCATTCCTCAGGAGCTTTTTCTCAGTATCTTCTTTAATGAGAAATGCCAACAGTCTGAACGTCTTTCTCTGCTGGTTAGAACTGACCCCTGCGAGCAGGTCAGCATGGAGGAATCAAACCAAGATAGCGTTCTCAGCCCAGCACTGTCTCTCCGGTTGCGGGAGCTTGGCATCCACACACCCAAAACTGTAGGCTCTAGTCTAGGTCCTAGACATTTTGAAAGAGATCCAGGAATAGTTCCCAGAGATGCCAGGGATTTTGGTTGCTGTACTGGCCTTAGCCTCTGCTCCATGATTTTTCTGTGCAATGGGAAATTTCAAAATGTGCCACAGGCTATTATGCCATTCCCTGAAGGCTTCTTTCAGGACCTTGGTTTCTAGAGTGAATAAGCTCTGGGAGATTGCACAACTGCAAAGTATGTGCCTCTCAAGGATCCCCCCCCGAACATTCACAAGTTCCTGGTCACTGATTGATTACATCCCCTTACCACTGCTGTCTATATGCAGGAACCTCCAAGCCTCAAATGTATGCAAACCTGAACTGAAATTCCCACAAGATAAGGCTGTGTTGGGACGTTCTAGATGATTCTTTGCAGCGTAGAAATGAATCCTCAGGAAATAGGTTATTTCCTGTTCTATAATGTCTGCCTCTGAGTTGGATGGCAAAAATTCATCAAGCCTAGTTTGGGTTCTGTAGGCATTTTGAAAATTCTTAGAAACTGCTGGAAGCAAACTTCTCTTCATCTGTTCTTGACCCAAATCCTCCAAAGACAAAGGGAACAAAAGAGCATTTGACAAACATTGTAACTTAAAATCTTCTTCTCTGGAAGTCCGTGACCCCTTATTGTGTGCATATAAATTAGCCTTTCAACATTTTAGAAGCCTCTACTAATAATCTGTTGGAAATTTATTATTTTGCTTTATTCAATATTAAGTATAGTATTCATGGGGCTTTACTTAGTCTTGTTCCATTGAAGGACTCTGGTTAAGCTTATTAATACTGATTATGAGAAATTAACTAATATTTTTAATGACAATATTCCTGGAAGATAAAGAGAAAACAGATCTAAATAGATTTTAAGGGGATTCATTTGAAAGTATTAATGCAAGGAGTGATTTCTTTTTTTATTTTTATTCTTTCAGTCCAACTGTCCTGTCTCACCAAACTTAAATTTCAAACCATCTGGGTCCTTCATTATGTAACAGTGCCATCTCTCGTGCTTCCCTGGTCTGTGTGGGGTGTCAGTCAGTGAACTGGCCAGACTTCAGAGGCAGTGTTTCCCTTATCAACCTAATAAAAAGTTGCTGACAGTTTTATGTTAATTAACCCAGCAGGCTTTGATGCTCTAAAAAGAAGATGGCAGACCTCATAGGTCCATGGATATTTGAGAGATGTTTTTGTTTTCTTATTATTTATTTAGAATTAGTACATTCAGTTCTTTTTGGTCAAATAAGGTCCAAGAGAGCATCTTGCTTGGCTAGTCTGTACATAAGGGATGGAAATGCTGGCCATGCTGCCACCCCACTAATAGGACAGAGGAGCCTCTGTCTCGCCGTGTGGATGGTGCACCCACTAAAGCCAGACTGAGAGTGAGGGGAGGAGGCATTCAGTACTGGAGCCACTTCCTGAGAGTAAAAAGAGTGTCCCTCACAAGTGACATCACGTAGTATTATGTTAAATAGAAAATACCTTATAAACAAAAGTAACCGTTCATTTCTCTGGAAAGACAGCATTTGATTCTAAAAAACAGCCCAAGATTCACTTTTATGTCTGCTCCTCTTCTGGTCTCACTTCTTGTTTGAGCTCACTGCTCTGCAAATCCACCATCCCATGTTCTTAATTCACCCTTTATTTTGGGGTGCCATGCTCCCGTTCCTTTGCATTAAGCTGATTTATCCGAGAGCATTTATTTCATCTATTAATTGGCTATGTTTGCAAAACCACATCACATGCCTTTAAAATCCCAGATACTTTTATCTCTTTTAAAGACAGTATGTCATTACTTTAATATTTGAAACATCAGTTTCAAAGAAAAAAAACAAATTACAAGTGACCTTCACACTGCTTTGCCCAGGACACGTGGGTGATCCTGGGGCTCCCAAAGGCGCCTGATTCTGGAGTTGGTCCATGGTCATGGGCCTCCTCTGCCTAACACTGGAGACTTTTCCTTAAGGCCTTTAGGGCTCTTAGTGTCTGTCATTCTTTCTTGGTAAGTATCCTTAAATGTACAAGAGGCAGAAAAACTGATCTGCCATCTGTTAAATATTGCTTGGTATGTGAAATCTGAAAATTATTTGGTATTATTTCTCTTGAGTTAGTGTAGAGGGCCTTCAGTGAAGTAACAAGTGACTTATACGCGTTTGTTCCACACATAATAAGGAAGGTGCATCATGGGTGAGACTTCACTGGAAGTGGTGAATGAGAAAGGTAGTACAAGATGCAGCGTGCTCTGGAAGGCCTGAGTGCAGCAAGCCAGGGAGCTTGCAGCGAGGACCGAAATTGGCTTTTAGAGGAAATATTTCCAAACTGGGACCTGAAAGAGACAAGGAGGAGGCAGCTAGGTGAGGAGAGGAATGGGGGCAGAAGTACGTTCTAGGCAAGGTCAGGGCTGCACGCCGTTCTCAGGTTTGCTCTAAGTGTCGTTGAACTAAACGCTCCATGCAATGGAAGGACCAAACCTGGAAGGGCGGTAACCAGGTACCCTCCAGACTGTTGTGGGACATAGAATCCTTGTCAAGTCAGAGTGAACAGGCAACCCTTTCTTAATCTCCTCTTGAAAAGATGATGCTCCTATACTCCATCAGTTTACATCATGCCTTCAGATCACATGGTAATAGTAAAAAGTACAACTTGACTCAATTCATCATCTCCCAGATACAAGAGTTTGTTTTTTTACTAACATGTATGTTAGTAACTATCGGCCAATCAGACACATTCATTGAACAGACATAATGTTCAGAGCATTGTGTTTGATGGGATATAAAATTTCAGACAAAAGGAGTTTATAATGTGGTCAGAAATGCGTTTGCCTGTGCACGCACACACGCACCCGCACACCCCTTAGGAATCACCGCAGAGTAAACGTAAATATTGGCCGGATGGCAAACACGCACAGGTAGTTAGTGAAGTTCTCAGAGGAAGGAGGAGTGGACGGCGCTTCTCCAAGAGCCAGCTGAGAGTCTGCATGCTGTGCATTCATTTTCAACAAGAGTGGGGATTGTCCTTCCCAGCTGTCAGAGAGCAGACCATCTCCTCCTTCCCAAACCTGGAAGCTGGATTCTTTAGGGTATACCTTTAGAAGTTAACACCTTAGGCAGAAAGAAAAAAGCTCCCTCAGCAATACGCCATGAAGGCAGAGGACAAGACGTGAGTGCTTGTAGTATAAAAGAAGGAGGATTCCAAGAGTTGCAGATCAGTTTCACTGGCTCCTACCATGGACCGTATGATTGGGCTGGATCTCCATGCACGCTGTTATGCTAGGGGCTAAGTGACAAAGATGCATTTAAAGAATAGGCCTCTGCCCTACTTCAAAAGACTAGCAAGTCAATGTCTGTTTATGCTTTACGTTAAAATAAAATGTTGTGTGTTGTTCTTGACCCTAACTGACTTTTGTGATTAAGCGGCCTCCTGGTTCAGCCCGGGTAGATTAGGAGGGCCCCTACCGTATTATAGATGAGCAGCTTAGCTAAGGAGACAAGATGGGTAAACAGAAGGCATGCATGCTGAGTGGCCTGTGATCAGTGTTGAATAAGCAGCTCAGACGCTCAGGACGATTCACTTTAGGTATTGGGAGGGTCGCTTTGGCTGTGGTGATGAGGGTGGGTTTCATGGTTGAGCTAAGATCGAAGAGAAGTCTTATCGATGGCCTACCGTAACTTAAATCATTTTTATGGTAGTTTTGAAAAAAGAGAAGGCCTCACTTCACGCTTACTAGGATAAGAAATGAAACAAAAGAAATAGTAGTAAAGTGTGATGCTTTCCAATATTAAAACCCTTTCCTGGTCCTTCAACAGTGGGAGGATGTACTTGGCAAAGGCTTAGTTTTGTCTTAACACTGTCTTATGTTTTTTATTGTGCTCCATTTTTAAAGAAATGCTGCTTAGCTCTTTGGACCAGAACTGTATTTTAATTTCATTTGATTTCAGTCAGTCACTGTTAGAGAAAATGTGGGTGTGAATATCTGCGTGAATGTCCAGCATCTCCCCTTGCAATAATGAGAGACTGATACTATTTCTCCTCCAGTTATGCAAAACCAGTGAGAGGCTTCTGTTCTTAGATATGAATTTTTTTTAATGAATTTTCACCTCTGTCTTTTCAGAACCATTATTTGTGTTTGCGTTACAAGACAAATTGGATACGTTTTTGGATTCTGCACCCTCTCTACCTTTAGTTGAGACACTGTTTGAAAAGGTCAGAGGAAGTTACTGTAAAACAGGAAGTGGCCCTGGTGCACTGGGAGAGCTTGAGAAAATTTTAAGCGTAGAAAATATTTTATTCGTCAGTGCATTGCACTTCCTGTGAAAGATTCTAAGAGTCTCCCTTAGCTTAGAAAATAATTGATTTTTGGCCACAATGAGACAGAGCACAAATCTATTTCAGGTCGATGGGGCTTGAGTTCTCTAAGAGAGAAAGTGCCTCCGGGGAGGGGATGAAGGTAACTGAGTCCAGTCATTGCCACACGGTCAGTCCTAACCGCATGGCGGTGTGTGTAACTCGCTGATCTACCACCCTCGGGGACCCTTCAGTTCTGTTAAATTTAAATTTAGCGCTCCTGCCCAGCAACCACCGATTCAAGGCTGGTGCCGGCCCCTGACAGGGACATTTGCATTCATCCTCAATGTCGCTTCATCAGAGTGACTTGCGTGACCCTGTTTATCTCAGGAGTGATTAACACACCTGGAGAGCACACCCCAGTTTGCACCTCTGATCCTTTTTACCCCAAACTTTGCTCCTTCTGGTGCAGAACTCCATACGGGTTCCCAAGGGCCAAGCAGCCGCACACGTGTTTGTCTCCCTGTCGCTGTGTGTCTTGCTCCTCCCGTTTATATGGTGTTTGTCTGCTTCTGTCCACTTTTTCGTTTATAGAGAACACTGAAAACCACTCGGAAACACCAGCCGCTCCTGCTCCACCTCCTCCAGCTCTTCCTAAGCCTAAACCCAAACCCAAGCCCAAAAAGTCACCCGTGCCTCCAAAAGGGGCCGCTGCTGGGGCCAGCCCCAAGGGCGACGAAGTGCCTCCTCTTAAAAAAAATACCAAGGCTCCTGGTAAGCAGGCCCCTGTCCCTGCACCCAAGCCAACGAGCCGAAACGCGACCCGAGAGGCTGGTGAGTATGCCCCGGGGGGTCGAGTGGAGGGTGCTCCGCTCCAGGCTGCGCCTAATTGCTTCTCCTAGAAAGAGTGGCGTTTCTGGTGTCTGATGACTTAGGTGTAACACCAGAGGATTCAGCTTTGATGCAGAATGCCCAGGAGATTCCTTTGTTGGTGTCTCCACTAAAGGAAAGTCAACCAGTTGATAGCTGACCTCATTAGTGTCGGGGTGAATAGACCGCTTTCATCCTGAGTGTCCACTGTCTGCATGAGACCCAGTGAAGGGTACAGGGAGTAGTGTGCCTGATAAATGGCGATGATCTGATAGGACATTATTTAAACATCGACTGGCAATCTGCCTGTTTGAGTTTGTGAGTGGCTTTTTGGCCCGGGTTTTCTTTCAAAATATCTTAAGTTTACACATAAAAACATGATGCTTGCATCTTTGACGTATTTGCTGAATCTTAGTGTCTTGAATCTTTCTGCACACATAGTCATTTCTCTCCTGATAAATGACAGTGTTCATATCACTGTTCAGCTCCACCTCACCCCTCTCCACTGGAGTCAACTGTTTCAGCAGAGTTAGAAGTTACATGCTCAGTGCGTCCTCCTCCACCCCGGGTAGACTTAAGTGTGTTATAAGGAAAAGCATCCTCTTGCTGTGGTCACAAGTCACTATTGAAAATCACCAGGGGATGTTTTGGTGACCTACAATAACTTCAAGTAATGTGTATCCAGCTTCCCTTTCAAATCAGGTATGCTTAATGCAAGGTGGAGCTCCCATTCTTCTAGTGAAGTGGAATAAAGAAGCCTATCGTGTTACCCAGCTTTTAAAACGGCATTGATCAAAGTACAGGTGCTGAGTGGCTTTTTCCCCTGAACACATGCATAAAAATTCTCCTGTATTAAAGCAAATGTTATTTTCCTTAAATTCAGCAGCAACTGTCTCATAGTTGGCTGCCAGGATTTGCCTTGGTATTGATTTTTCCCCTTGTAATTTATACCCATATTGCTCAAATTCAGAGAATGGCTTAGTTGACATAACAGATCTTTGAGTGCAAATCAATGTCTCTCCCAGTGTTCCTCTCCTCTGCCTTTGACACTGAGTGTCTGAATCTCTGCTAATAAGCTCTGAAGTGACAAGTCTCAGAATGCTGTGCCAACAGTGCCTGCAGGCCATTCCTCAGGAACCAGCTGCCCTCACATGTCACGTCCATTCTTGTTGGCATCTGTGTGTTTCCTAGACTTCCCAGCACAGCCTAGAGCGGGTCTTGAAGTGAGGCAGGCGCTGATCCACTTCTTAAAGAAAAGCTCCACACCATTGCCTCGTCCTTGGGAATTTAGCCCCTGCCTTGTGCAGACTTTCCCACCTCCTCACGCCCCGCATGGGAGCAGCTCGCTGTTCACTGGGCTTGGACACTCTCTTTCTTCTCTCAGAAGAAAGCTGGTGGTTGTCAGGGCAGGAGACACTTCCACGAGAGATTTTGAGTTATTTCCAGCTATTTTCCTTGAAGATTTATTTATAGACTCTTGATGTCCCTAAGAGGAAAGTACAGTCATGTTCTCCATTGTGTTAAGAGAAGCCCAGCTGGCCCTTAGTGTAAATAAGAGTGTTGCTAGTCTCAGGGCAATCACAGAGGCGGGGGTTGCATTGGGGTATGCCGGCAAGCCCACTGTGCAAGGATCCTTTTCTCAGATGTTGGAAGTACTCCTTCAGAATCCTACTCATACTCTGTTTGTAACCCTGGCTACACAGTAACTGTGTTTTATTTGCGTAATCTTGACCTTCTGGAAAAGTTACTTCAAATGCAGCCCTTGATTTTCAGTCAGATGTTTCAGGCTCTTAAAAAAGCTATCAGTTAAGATTCCTCCTCTCTTACTAACTTAACGTAGACTTCCAGATAACCAGATTTCAGCTTAGCACAGTCAGCCGCTTTGCCCATGAAGCAGGGTAAAATCTCTCGTGTGTTTTCTTTTTCGTTGTTACACACTGTATTAACAACAAATGTACTTAACTGGGGCTGGCCCAGTGGTGTAGTGGGTGGGTTTGTGTGCTCCACTTTTGTGGCCTGCGATTCACAGGTTTGGATCCCGGGTGTGGACCTACACATCACTCATCAAGCCATGCTGTGGCAGCATCCCACATAGAAAATAGAGGAAGATTGGCATGGATGTTAGCTCAGGACCAATCTTCCTCACCCAAAAAACCCCAAAAAACCTTAAGAGAGATGGCATTTCTTTTTTTAGTCATAGCCTAAATTCAAGATAACTTAAGCGACATGGTTGATTTCAGCAAAATCCTGTCATTTTAAAAGACGCTTAAAGAAAAATATAATGACATGGCTTAAATTTGCATTGCAGGCATTGAAAAAACTTAAGCCAGGCTAAAGTTAAACTTTGCTGTTAGAAAAGAAAGAATTTCCTTAAAAAAAAATATTCTTAGAATTGATATATGGAAGGGATTCTGTTCATCTTACCTGAGAAAATAATTGGACATGTTTAGACAGCAAATTCTTAGCATCTTTGTTGTGAAAAATAAACTAGAATGGACTCACATTGTAGGAGTATGCTTAATACACTTGTCTGTAAGCAAATGAAGGTTGTTAACTTCAAAGAAGTAGTATTAACAGGCCCAGACTTGAGGGAGGAGAATTCTGGTTATTAAGTAGATGTAACATAATAAGCCTCCCAAGCCGTAGAGACTTCTTTTAAGCCTGGATCTTGTCACCAAGTAGGACTCTTTCCAGTGTATCAGAGTTGGTGAAGTCTTGCGTCTCCTTGTTCATTTGTCCTTCATCTCTTGACCCTCCCAGTTGACTCCAACAAAGTTATAACCAGAGGTAAGTTACAGTGACGTCTGTGTGCAATGTGGGTTGGCTCCACACGGTACTTACAGGATATTCTTAATGGTTCTGTGGAATCGTTTAACTCCTTATGAAAAAGGAGGAACATACGACATCGAATAAGCAATTGGGGGAAATTTACAGATCATAAAGGTCATGAAACAAAAGAGTATTCTCATAGGAGTTAAAATGTGTTTCCTAAGATGATAGAAAGACAAGGAGAGTTAGCCTGTCTTTCCTGAAAACAGTTTGGTTGAAGGCGGTCCTGTCCAGAACTGGGCAGACACGCCACGGCCATCCTCTGATGAACACCCTCTGGAAGCATCAGCGGTTGTCAGATCTGAGAGTGATACTCTTTCCCTTCAAATTATTCAAACACTACCCATTTAGACATTTTTTTGTAAAAAAATTATTTTTTTCTGCCTTTGTGATGTTTTGAAGGGGACTAGACTTCGATACGCGGCCATGTGTTTTCATTCTGCCCTGTCGCCACTGCAGGTGGAGGTACAGGCCAGCATGGCAACCTTCTCTCTCTGGAGCCGTTGGGGTAGCTGGTGTGGAGTTCACTCTTTTAGCAGTAAGATGAGTAAATTTGCTTTTGGCTCAGAGAGGAGTCAGTGATATATACCTGGCCTCTCTGAGTGTGGGCCTCTCCATTCCCAGAAGGACGTAAGAGGACATGTATAATTTGTGGTGAACCCAGCCTTGTACTGCACCCAGACAGCTGCTGGTGTCTGTCCTGTGCACACCAAAATGTCCCTTTGGAGCATACAGGGGCTTTTGCAGGTGACCCACAGGACAAGGAGCTGAGGATTTCCCCTTGGCTGGCCAGCTAAAGACTAGAGGAAAAGGACAGAGGACTCCTGTCTCTTAGGGTTTTGCCTCAAGGATCACTTGCTCTTTCCTAGATTGGAGACAGGGAGGGAACAGGAAACAAAACCATTATCATTATTAGCTTATTTTCTTTTATTTACTTTTTTCAACAAATTTTAAAGGGAACATTGACAATTGCAACTTGGTTAGTTTATTTAAAAAGTGTTGTCTTCTTTGACTTGTAATGCAAAATCTCTCTATTTTAGCTGGTTCCTCTCATTCAAAAAAAACAACTGGCTCCAAAGCATCAGCTTCACCATCTACTTCCTCCACTTCATCTCGTCCCAAAGCATCAAAGCAGACAGTTTCTAGCAAAACAGGGACAGTGGGAATTGCAAAAGGCAAGGAAAAAACCGGCAAGCAGCCAACGTCTCGACCGTCCTCAGACACAGCCACTTCTGGCACGTCCGACCTTAAAGGAGAGCCTTCGGAGACCAGTGCGGAGGGTCTCAACCCTGAGCAGACTGTCCCTGGGACTGAGGAGGAGACCACAGGCAAATCCAAGCCCACAGTCCCTCCGCCCCCGGGGGCTCCACCGCCTCCTCCCCCGGCCCCCCCTCTTCCCCTTGAGGAGCAGTGCATCATGGCCTCAGACACTCCTGTCGTCCTGGTCAGCAATGGAGCCGACCTGTCCGTCCCTGCCTTAGACCCAAGTCAGCTTCTCTGGACTGAAGAGCCGACAGACAGAACCGCTGTCCACTCAGCCACTGGCTTAAGTGTTACCCGAGAAAATGCAAAATGGTGAGTCGGGGCACCAACCCCATATTCCGTCTCCATTCCCTATGAAGCTGAGTCCTAAGGATGGTTAAACCCCTCTGTTGAAATGAAGGAACCTACTTTGTTTTCTTTTACAATTTAATCTAGTGAATGTTAGGGAAACACACATGTAATCCAACTGTTGGTTTTTCATAGCCCTGTGCCAGGAATGCCCCAGAAATGACATTGGTCCTACATCCCAATACTGCTTCAGATCTGTGGCTTTCAAGTCCACTTAGAACCTGCTTCGTCACTGCTCAGCAGTCCTTATTCTGTTCCCTAGACAGTTCCTTCTGTTTCCTTACAGTGGTTATTTTAAATCGTTTCATTTGTGTGCACATTGCTCACCCACTCCTGCCTACCTTCATTTCCCCAAGTTATGTAGCCTTCTCCTCTGCAAGAAAACAAAGAGCATCAGTAAAGCTCTCTTTCAAATTCCGGCTTCTTTCCCCCCAGCCTTGGAGTGGCTCTCTTTCTTGATCCTCAGTTCCCTACCCAACTCAAATATTTTCCCCTCTATGAAGCTTTTCAACCCTCCTCTGGATAGAATTGGTTATTGCATCTACTATATTCTGACAGCCATTTTCCCTACCTATGGGACGAAACTCACCAACGTGTCTATTTACCTCTATATCCGCAGCAACCAGTACAGAATCTGGTATACCATTGGCATGCCGTCACCTAGTTCCCCAAGCCAGAAACGTGGGCTTCATCCTAGGATCCTCATTCTCCTTCGTTCCCTGCATCTAGTCACTCAAAAAGTCTCATTCATTTTCTACTTAAAGGTCAATAGGCTCTGTTAGTGCTCCTGTCTCAGGTGTGAAGGGAGGACTGTCAGACTTTAGTAGACACCATGACCCGTTCTGTCTCAGGAGGGCTTCGCACTCTTAAATTCAGCCTCTTCTCTCCTCTTTCTAAGAATAAAACCAAAACTCACTCTTCAAATCATTTAATTTAATATTTCCTCTTTGAAAAAAACCTATGTCATGTTAGACTGAAAAACATTTAGTACATTAAGTAAGTTGACTTGGATCAAGAGACTAAAGTATCAACTTTAATTATTCAGTTGCTGATAATAACAACCTTCATTTATTGAATACTTATTTAATGTCAGGAACTGTCAGTTATTTAATTCACATAAGTCATCCCTGAAATATTTCTGTTTAATAGATGACAAAACGGCTGCTGAGGGAGGTGAAACAGTCTGCCCAGGGTCACCCAGTTAGTGAGTGGCAAAGCCAGCATGCGACCCAGAGTTGCACACCAGATTCCATGCTCTCGAGTGAATTCATACGTTTCCAAAGCAGTTCCTTCTACCTCTTCTACTATTTCTTTTGTTTGTTTCTTGTTTTTTGTTTGTTTTTATCGGTCTTGAGCATCATCATTTGAAGGAAAGCCAAGGAAAGATAAAGAAATGTTAAATTGCAGATGACTGTGTTTCCTTTGTTTGACATTTTAATAAACAATATGGGAAAAGAAGATATTGAAATGAATGGTTGCGGTGTCCTTAATACTTCCAGCACATTGTAGGTGTCCTCATTGAATTATAGTGAGTGTTTTCCATCACTGCGGTCAATTCCAACCTGTAGACCTGAACAGTTGTCTTTCAGTGTCTGTTTTTTGCTTGACTTCCGTGTGCTGGGCAGCATGCTAAGCACCAGAGATGCAAAGTGAGCAAAACATTATAGTTAGGATTAGTTTTTCCAAAATGTCCAACATGCCCAGGAAGTATGAATGTTTAAGATAAGGTCTGAATTTAGGAAAATAGATTGAGTATATGAGTTTATTGTTCAGTATACTGAAGAATAAGGTGGAACGTGTAAAGTGATTGCTCAGGTAGTCTTGAGCACAGAGAGAACCCTTATCCAAAGGTGACCCTCTGCCAGTCCACTTCCACAGTCATTTAGGGAGGGCACTGTATTGTGCTAAGCACGGCACTGCATTCTGGGGGCTTCACATTAGTCTTCAACCGAAGTCTCTGCAGGATTGTCAGGCAAAAGAGGTGAGCATCTATGCTCTATTTCCACTGAGACTAGGAGTGGAGAGAGCGAGCTCAGGACGTCATTAGTCGTTGGGGTATTTATAAGGGATTTGCCTGTCTTCAGGGTAACCGTAACGCGTTCCTAGAAGAGGGCATGGAGATGTTCTTCTCTGTATATTCTTCAAAATTAAAAATGTCAATTACAATTCATCCCACAGGTGTTTGTGTTTGCTCTAGAGTTAATGAGGCTGGAATAAGGAGTCTCTCAAATGCGCTTCCAAATTCTGTCTTCCATTTTTAAGTGGATACTTGCATTAGAATTTCTGGCTCTTAGTCAGTTGCTTAACTTAGAACTCTCCCTCAGTTATGTTTAGTCAACGAATGTGTGAAAATCCTGTCATCTTATGAAGAGGCTTCTGTTTGGAATACAAATATCAAAACTTTAAAGACAAGTGGCCATATGTAAAAATATCTACTTCTATTCACGTAATCCAGGGTGGTAACTATCTGGTAGATTTCTGTTCATTGACGGCTTCATCAGTAATGCGTATGCCTGGCATAATTTAAGGCAGAAACTGATAAGCGCATCTGGAGCCCATGTCCAAAAGGGACCTGACTCTGTGTAGTCCATTTCCATGAACATTTATGGAGTGCGCTGTATTGTCCAGTGTGCCCAGGAACCGGAGGGGAAACCGTGAGAGCCAGGTAGTGAGTTGATCGATAGAAATTTGGATTATGATATTTAATATTAAATGTGATCTATAACATAGTCTTAATATAACTTATAATATTAAGTATAAAATAAAATACAATATAACGTTTAATAGGTAGGCTAAGAGTCTTAAGTATGAGTTCTAGACTGGACTTGCTACCTTGTTTGGGCGACTCACCCATGGCCTTCCTGGGTTCCATGAACTATAAATTGTCTTCCCTCGTTATACTGTAGAACAATTGCAAGCTGTAAATGTATGCAGAAGTCTTTGAAAACGGCAAAATGTTATAAAATACAAATCGGTGTCGTGATAAATTAGTGAACAATGACATGAAATGTGGTGCCAGGGCTCAACCCTGAAGTAACTTTTGTTCTGCTCTCAGAATGTGTTATTAACTAGCATATCTTTTAAACGTGCTGTGGTCACCCACAGTGGCAGAGTGTTCAAACAAGAATGGCCTCCAGGGGCAATCGACGAGAAATCCAGACTGTGGAAAAGTTTTCCAATAAAATAGATCTTTTATTGAAAATGAGATTTCGTACTGTGGAAACCGTGTGGTGGTTCCTCAAAAAATTAAACATAGAATTACCGTATGATCCAGCTATTCCACTTCTGTGTATGTAGTCAAAAACGTTGAAAACGGATACTCGAACAGATGTTTGTATACTGATGTCCAGAGCAGGATTATTCACAACCACCATAAGGTAGAAACAACCCAAATATCCATCAACTGATGAATGGGTAAACAAAATGTGGTGGGTATACGTACAGTGGAATAGTGTTCACCCTTAAAAAGGAAGGAAATTCTGACGCATGCTACAACGTGGATGAACCTCAAAGACGTGCTAAGTGAAGTTGTCAGACGCAAAAGGACAAATGTATGATTTCACTTATATGAAGCAACTAAAATAATCAAATTCATAGAGACGGAAAGCAGAATGATGGTTGCCGGGGGCTAGGGGAGGAGGAGTGGGCAGTTGGTGTTTAATGGTGCAGAGTTTCCATCGGGGAAGACGAAAAATTCTGGAGGTGATGGTGGTGGTGGTCCCACAACAGTGTGAATGTGCTTAATCCCATTGAACTGTACGCTTAAAAAAGTTAAAATGGTAAATTTTATGTTATGTATATTTTACAAAATAAAGAATGAAATTTCGTATTTTCCCCTTTGAAAAGAAGAATTTCGGTGGTTGGATTTTTCTAATAAGTGAAAAAACAGAGAATTTTGAGAGCATTTAGGCTTATAACCACAAAGTAGAATTTTTAATACCTCAGATTCTGACAAAGTTTACCTGTTTTTTTGGTTTTTTAGTTAGTGAGAGCAGCGAGCACGTGTTTTCCATTAAGCGGTCTTTCAGATGTGTGACCTAAATTTGAATTCTTCTGTTTATATCAGAACGCAGCTTAGGGGAGGGCAAAAGGGGTGCTTAGGCACATGTGTGTGGTGATGGATGGTAATTGGTCTCTGGGTGGCAAAGATGATGTAGTCTATGCAGAAATCAAAATGTAATGATGTACACCTGAAATTTATATAATGCTATAAACCAGTGTTACCACAATAAAAAAAAAAAGCAATTTGGGGGTGTTCTGTATCTGAAAATGAAGATTACATTGTTTTTGATATATGTTTTTGATGTAAAGTGTATTTTTTTATTCTAGTCTATGAAATTGGCAAGCTCTGTGTATTTATAATTTTAAACCAGAGACTCTTACCAAGCTCAACAACAAAAAATTATTGCATCCTTACCACCTTTCTTCTAAAGAGTCCACTTAACTTTCACATTTTCCATCTCATGTTATTAATTTAGTCCTATGAGAGGTAGTTCTACAAATGGAGAAACTAAAGCACAGAGAGAAGACGTGATTTTTGACTGTTGATGCCCTGGCTGAGATGAAAATAGGGTTAATTCATATGTCAGTTAAATAAGATGTCACTATTGTCCTAGGTGCTGGGCTGCAAAATGATACGAGTCCCTCTTGTCCAGGAACTTTGGGGGTTGGGTAGGCTGACAAGTAGATGGTGGTTGAGGTGCAGTGCGCTAAGTGCGCCAATGGGTCACCCTGGGAGCAGAGAGGTGGGCCAGGGAACTCCACTGAAGGCCAGTGACTGATTCCTGAAGGAGCTGAGGCTTTAACTGAGACTTAAAGAATAAGTAGGAGTTACAGGTCAAAGAAAAAGTATGGACAAAGTCAAATATCCGGGAGCTTCTAACCCGTTGTTCTTTCCACTGAACCCCTTGCTAGGGAAAAATAAATTTGCAAAATAGACTTTTCCCATATTCATGTACTGAATATATTGAATACCATCTAGTCAATCTATCTCCTTTTACAGATGAAGAATCTAAAACCTTGAGAATTGAGTAATACAGTACTGCTCTTCCATTCCGGGACTTCAGCTAGCCTGTGTTTGCCGTCTCCTTTTGCCAGCTGGAGGGATGCTCCTGAAACCGGAGTTCCTTCTCATGCTGTTGGCATCGTCCTTGAGGGTTGCTCTGAGCTTCACACCACCTCTGTGTTTTTGTGCCTTTAACAGTTTCACAACCAAAGACGAGCTGGGAAAGGCAGCGCCTCAGCTACTGACTCCTGGGCTGATGGGAGAATCCTCAGAATCCTTCAGTGCCCCAGAAGACGAAGGCCGTAGGGAGTACCAGGCCAATGACTCGGACTCTGATGGGCCTATCTTGTACACCGATGATGACGATGATGAAGAGGACGAGGACGGCAGTGGAGAAAGTAAGACTCTTTTCAAGAGGTAGGGAGGAAAGTGGGTGGTGGACAGAAGCAGCTATGTTTTATAAAGAACGAAGACCTCATCAGGAACCAGACCTCTGATGTTTTCTTTCCTCTCATCTCCCTTTCTCAAATTAGAAATCTGTATATTCTAAGATTTAGCTTTTGATGGCAGGTGTTTCTGGAAGATGATGCCACGGGGGGTGGGGAGGGGTCAGGCCCTCGACTGAGGCAGGTATGCATATGTGTATATGTAAGAGAGCCAAAGCTTTCTAATGACAGAGGCTTTTCTCAGATTGATCACAAGATGGCCCTTCCGCCCTGGGACCTTTCTTTGTTTTTTTCTGCTTTATCTCCCCAAACCCCCCCTGTACACAGTTGTATATCTTAGTTGCACGTCCTTCTAGTTGTGGGAGGGACCTTTCTTGAATAAAGAGCATCAATGCAGGACTCACTGGATTACTCATTGGAGGTGTTTGAGAGTTTCACTCAGTTTCATACTGGGGTTTAAAGAGAGGGGAGAGAGGAATGAGTCAAAAATAACAAATAGTTTTTAAAAATTGAAAGTACTCATCTACCATGAGTAGGATAGTATGCCTTCTAAGAAGGAATGATAGTGAGGTGGATAAAGCCAGCCATTTCTAGTGTGGGGAACTGGAAACTGCTATTTTTTTAAAAACTTCTGAGCAGGATGACTTGGGAGGGATTCGCTATGGAATTGAATTTATAGATTATGAAAAGTTAATGGTATATTAATGATTAAAGAGCAGTTTGTCAAATTCCTTCTAGTTTGTGCTGAACAACAACAAAAACCATTATCATCCATCGGGTGTCAACTATCCACTCTTGAGATATCAAGGATACCTGGGTAATTGAGGATTAAAACGGTGATATCAGAGGTAGACTTTCGTCAGTGTGGTTTCTGAGTAGAGGAGAAGGAAAGTCAAGGATTTACTATGCAGAATAATTAAAGGGGCTGAGTTTTTAAGACTTAAGAAAGAGAAGGCATTGTGCAATTTCCGGAATACGCCGTCTCAACAAAGTAAACTTCAGATATCACTTTCCAAATGATGAGGTGATACTTGCAGGGTTTTTCATGGTGCCCCAACATTTCTCAGAACATTTTTAAAAATAGTTCTTCAGTTTTCCAAAATGAACTACATCCAACTCAAAAACTTTTTTTCCCTTAGGTTAATTAAAATTCCACTCCCGCATGTGGAATTCGGTCTGGAGAGGTCACATCGTCTTCACCACTCAAAGTCTAGTCTCCATCTGTCACCATACACAATATTACCTCAAAAAAAAAAAAGAATAGAAAATGAGATAAGCTAAAAAGGTATATTAAAATATTATTGATAAGTTAGCTTCTTTGTAGCCAGGAAAGTTAAAGTATAATCAATTGTGGTTTTGGTATAAATAAAAGATTAGAACTTAAAAAAGAGGATTTGGTCTGGACTCTGTCTAAGGTCATGCCACAAGTAACCTGAGTGCGTTCGCTAAAAGCCCCTTTCTCTGCATTTCTGCCTTTCCCAATGCTCAGGTGCTTTGGCTAGCAAAATACGGCGAAGGGATACTCTTGCTATCAAACTTGGCAACAGACCATCCAAGAAAGAGTTAGAGGACAAAAACATCTTGCAGCGAACATCTGAAGAAGAGAGACAGGAAATCCGACAACAGATTGGAACCAAGCTGGTCAGGTAATTGCTGAAATTGTAGTTCAGCCCTGGCTGATTCATCCTTTTCTCCCTCCGGCAGTTTCCTGCCTAACGGAAATCATGGTGAATTCTTTGTGAAAGGGCGCGCCTGGCCTGTCTGATCTTTTAACAGTGGGTTCTGGATGGTGAACCACTCCAAGAACCTGCCCTCTGGTCCAGCTAGTCATTGGCTTTGAAGACACCAAACCCTGATCCAGGCCTTGACGAACTTTTTCTGTAAAAACCAGTTAGTGAATATTTTAGGCTTTGCTGCCCCGAAGGTCTCTGTTGCAGCTACTCAGCTGTGCTGTTGTAGCATGCACGCAGCCATAGACCATACGTAAGCAAGCAAGTGTGGCTGTGTTCCAGCAAAGCTTTATTCACCCAGACAGGCAGCAGGCCCGACACATGGACTCACCAGCGTTCTTGTGATTGCCATGAGGTTCTGCCCTTTGAGCTGCGAGACTCTGAACATGCTGGTTAGCTTCAGTGGCTAGCTCCATCCAGGTCAGGTAACCATAGCCCCCATATCTAGACTTCCCCCTTTCAGCTCCAAATAAATGATCATCTGACTTCTCTTCCTGCCTCCAGTTTTTGTAGGATTTCTACTTTTGCCACTTTGGAAGTCCACGTAATTGGCAGTTTTAACAGAAGTGAATGCTGAAGTTCTCGCTTTTCATTATCAGTTTAAGCATATTTAAGTATTACTTCTTTTGCTGACTTCTCTCATTCTACATAAACAGCAGGGTGCATAAATTGAGAGAAGGGGACAGTCTGGAATACCAGAGCAGGATTGGGAGGTGGGAGGAAATTTCTCTCCTTGCCGGGAAGTGGAAGACTTCTGTGACCGTGGTGAACCTCGGGGTTGGCAGGCGGAGGCTCAGCGGCCATCATCTGTTTTACAGACAGCGCCAAGCAGGGGCTTGTGAGAATTAAATAACGTGATACTTTGAAGGCACTCTAGTGCCTGGATCATAGCAAGCACTTCCTAAAATCAAATGTTTTTTTATTATTAATTTAAATAATTATTATATCTCTTAAATTAGTAGAATACTTTTAAAAATTAAACTCACTGTTGGCAATTTTGTGAGAAAGTGGGACATGTATACATCACTCTTATTTAGTATTTCTGAAGAACGGCTTAACAATATAAAAAAAGAATTGTAAATCAGTCTATTTCTTTACATGGTAATTCCATTTGAGAGACTATACAAGAAGGAAATAATTCAAGAGGTGAAAAACCCTATATTTTATGAAGATGTTTATTTTGAGGTCAGTTACCGTAGTGACAAATTAAAACAAACCAAACGCTCAAGAACAGGGGACTGATGAAGAACGTTGTGAGAAGTTGACACCATGAAATAACCACAGAGAAGTGGTTTTCTGTTCCAATAAGATTTCTTGGAGAGGATGTAATCGTGCTTCTCTAGGGAGAGCCAGGGAAGGGTGGGTGGGTTTCGGGGTGGAACGGCAGGGGATTCCTTCATCCCAGGTTTAACCATCCAACAGAACAGCGCCTCTTCTGTCTGTTTTATATAAGGAGCACACCCCAACCCCCAAAAGTTTGTGAACCTCTCTAATTACACATGTAGACCGTATCTATAAAAAATTTTATCAGAATAGGGTTTTGAGTGTTGTAAATATATAAATTTTGCAGAATTGTTTTTCTGTGAACGCAGCCCATCTAGTTGCTGTCATTCAAGTGTAAGTCATATTTGATTTGTAGGGAACTCCATGTGTAGCGAAAGAGACAGAATTATATATTGCATGATGAAATTATATATTGCATGTGAAAAGCACAAACATCTAAGTCAAGAGAATGAGGTATGAGTCCTGGCTGTAACATGCACTGGTATTTCATCTGAAGCAAATGAATTCATCTCTCATTTCCTCATTTGTAAAATGGGGACTGGCTGCCACCTTGCTGAATTCTTTTGAGGATTCAAGATAATGTAAGTTAAGCACCTAGCACAGTGCCTGGGACTTTAAAAGTAGGAACTAATGAGAGCTATGATAATTATCTTATCTTTATCATTATTTGTGTGACAAAGTGCCTTAGTAGATGTATAATCAGTGTATAACTGCTGTATGGGGCAAAGAACCAGGAACCTTTAATTCTCACTTGCAGGACAGATCAAACTTTCAAGGTACTGTTATATCGTTTGTAAGATTTCAGTAGATGGAGGAGAGAAGGGCATTCCAGAAGGAGGAAACTCCATAAGCAGAAGAAGGATGATGTCTCTGGGGATGCTTTGGCACAGATATGTAGTACAGGATATGTGGGTCCGTGGATGGCACAAAATCTGGCCAGTGTAGATGTTCAGTGGGTTCTTTTACAGGCTCAATTATTTAAGTTAATTTCAAGGTAGCTCTAATGAAGGTTAAACATTAAAATTTTTAATAAGATATTCAAAATATCATTGATTTCACTCCTTCGTACTATTTCTGTCACAGCTATAGGCATTTAGAATTGATAGTTATAATATAATAGAATTATATTACGATTACCTTTCATGTATATTAGTTTAATTTGCACAAATTCAACCTACATCCAGAGGAAGTTTTTGTCTGTGATTAACAACAAACTGATAGTGTAAACAAAACCAAGAACAAAGTTGTAAGGAGTTATTAGGACATTCAGCTCTTTCATACAAATAGTTTGCTGCTGATCACAAGTGAGCCCGACTTTTCTTGAAAGCAGATGGGAAGGGCTATATGTCTCCAGACAATTTTATATATATTGTAAATCCGTTTGAGGCCATGAAAACAGTGTTTCACTTAAAACTGTGCAGTGTAGATTAAGCATCTCCTGAGTTGGTATGAACTCTTCAGCAGCAGCCTCTTTTAGATCCTAATGATCTATCTGTATATTAATTAGGGCAGAGGCTAAGCTGCTCTAACAGGAACCAAAAGGTACAGTGGTCCAAACAACGCACTTTTGCTTGTTTATTTCATGTTCATTTAACAGTCCTGAGGTAGCAGCGGTCCAGTGTGGTGGGGAGCTCTGCTCCTTGCAGTCAGCCGGGCACCCAAGTGCCTTCTGTCTTGTTCTTCCATCCCCATAGATATTCTCATCTACATGGTCCAAGTTGGCTCACACAACCCTGCTTAAGTTCTAATCTGTGGAAGAAGGAAAAAGAGAAGGGAACACACACCCAGTCATTTTGAGGGTAAAAAGCAGAAGTTACAAACACCACTGCTGCTCATATCCTATTTCAAGAACTCAGTCCTATAGCCACCCCTTGCTGCTAGGGGCAAGAAGTCCACGCAGGGGCTACAGCTAGAGTTCAGAGGGTTCTGTTTCCAAAGGGAAGAGAGGGGAGAATGGAGAGTGGGGAGTTGTGAGTTTTCTTAGCCACAGTCTCTAGTCTCCAAACTAACAGAAAGGAGATTTTTATTTTGTAGGTTTAGTAATGGATTTTTGTTTCTCAAAACAGGAAAAAATAGAGCTTTTGTTTTTGTTTTCTTTTGTATCTCCCAGTAAGGGGGCCTTGTTTGTAATCTGCAGTGTATCCTTTCTGTCATCATAGGAGACTTAGCCAGAGGCCCACAACAGAGGAATTAGAGCAGAGAAATATCCTAAAACGTGAGTATTCTGTACGATACAGTGATTCCTTCTGTACCCATTAAAAGGCTCCCTCTAGAGACAGCCCATTTATCAATAGGAAACCTTAATATATTTATTCACAAATAATTGAAATGACCCGTTTATATCACATTTTTATATAATTACTTATATAATTTAAAAAAATAATTTCTTGAAGTTTGTATTTCATTTCATGGCTCTAAGCCTAATATCCTCCAGACCAGAGTCATGGCTGTAACAGTTGTTTTTGAGAAAGATGACATATATTCCATATATCTTTTCACCCAAATATTAAATAGAAGAAAATGCTCTAGTCTGCTTGCAAATAAATGTCAAAGAAAAGGACAAAGAATCCACCAGGAACTAAATCAAACATTCCTATATTATGAATAATAGTTCGTTGCCAGGTTTAACAGATGACTCAATTTAAAACCATTATGGATTTTTCAACCCAATTCGTTTTCCTTTGTTATGATAACTCTGTTTCCTTCTTGAGTTATTTATAATTTCTCAGCACTGAAGGAGTTCTCCATTCATTTTCCTATTTTATTTTCCCATTCTCCCCTCTGTTTTCTCTCACTTTACTTTTTACTCACCAGTCCGGTAGTATTTGAGTTTGTTGTAGTTTACATGTTAAAGCTAAAAAAACAAATAGAACGGCAGCTCATTGTGCTGTAGTGTATAATGTAGTTACTAACCACAGAGAGTTAAGGAATGGATATTTTTAAATTGAGCCTAACTGCGGTTTTACATATTACTAACCCAGTTTCCAGAGAGCTTTTTATTCTATGAAATATCAAAGAGCAGGGCTGGGCAGGACTCCAGACAGTGCTACAATAGTAATGAGCCGCTGGTGTGCGGGAAATCTTTTTCAACAAGGCTTATAGGGTCGAGTTGGCCTGTCGGGATGGTCCCAGTCTCCAATGTGAGTTGTTTTCTTTCCTGAAGGAAAGAAAGATTTTAATAGCATATTTATACTACAGTTGCTATTACTAAGACAACCCAACAAAGAAGACTGAGCAGCAAGAGGAACTGCCAGTCTATGGGATTTTTTTTCCTTGGAATGTTTTTTTCTGGCTGTTTGTGAGTATAACTGGAATAGAACCCAAGAAAGGACTCAAGTGACCATAAGTGTGCACTAGAGCCAGTTTGGAGAGGGAAAAAGTCACGGCTAGAAAAGAAAAAAACTGCGTTTTAGCTTTCTGAGGAAAGATGAAAGCAACATCTAATTTTGACAACAAAACAAAACCCAAAATTCTCATGGCTTTTGATAATAGGATCCTGGAAAATAGTCGTTGAGTTAAAATTTTAGGTAAGCTTAAATGCAGACCATAAGCTCCTAAAACACAGAGGTTATTTCTTATTGGCTGCCTGATGCAGTAGCTAGAAAAAAACGAAGAGCGAATTCTGGATAATTCTTCCCTGCTCCTGTGCGACAAACAGTGCCAAACCACGCTGGTGTTTGGTTTTTTGAGGAACTGTTTCACAGATCTAGAAATTTATCACACGCTGGTCTTAAGTGTTGTGTTGGCTTTTATACCCCATTTTCCTGGAGATTCGGGAAAGAGTGAGACACCAAAGTCAACTTCAGATTTGACTTCAGCGCTTTCTTACTTCTTAGTTTGTCCAAGCATGCTTATTCTGGAAACAAAAGACATGTTTCCAGTCTGGAGAGGCTGGTAACTGGCTTATGATCTCCTGATATAATATTGTACAGCCAAGGGGAGCAGAAAAGAGAACTGGTGGAGGTCATCCAGAATGTTCTGCTGAGCAGTCCCAGGGAACTGAACGGCATAGCTTACGACGCTGTATTCAGCCCCTGATGGCCTCTGGATTCTTCCACTTAGATTGCTCTTGTTGGCTTGTTTCATTTCCAGCTTTTGCTCAAAAGCAATAGGATTGTCTATTTGAAGAGAAGTCTCTGTGTGACATGGTGTGGTTTTTAAGGACACTTATTTTAACTAGGTCATCCCTTCTTGACAGATTAGGGAACTAATTCACAGCATGAAACCTTCAGCAATTCTCAAATCCAAGCCTGTCACTGGTTTAATAAACAGGAGTCAGGTGGCAGTCAGTGCTGATAGCTTTAATTGGAGACCAAAGGAAAATTTTATTTCTTAGTATCATTCCCAGGGTCACACCTTAGTTACTTTCCTATTTTAGTGCATTTAGGGTTTGAAAATATATATGTTATATTTAGTTGTACATTTTAGAACCAGTTCCTTAAAAGTGTTAAAATAGAAAGCAAGTTGTGGTGCTTGAAAGATCAACTTTTGCTTCTCAGGAAAAGTGATGGATATGAAGCAACTTTTTCAGGGCAGAAATAAAAGATACGGATCCTCTCCTACTATTTAGCTGTGAGTGTAATTCCAACTATATCTTCTCTAAGAGAAAAATGTATTAAGCTATTGAGTTCTGCATATATTTTTCCCCAACACTTGATTATGAAATTTTTTAACCGTACTGAAAAGTTGGAAGAATTTTACCCCAAACCCCCGTCTATCTGCCATTTATATTGTGCCCTTAACATCTTTATCACATTTTGCTTTATCACATATCTATTCTTTCATTGATCCATCTTTTTTCTTCTTTCAGTGCATTTCAAAGTAGGTTTAAATGTATTTTCATTTGTCAAAAACACCCATATAGAAAAAGGTAAAATAGCAAGATGAGAAGTAAACCCACAAAAAATGTTTGGCTTTGTTTTAACCCACTTTATTTGAATTGATGATCCAAGAATATAATACTCCAGCTGCTGGGTATTTTGGTGCATTTTTTTCTTATCCTTTTAGCTCATCCACAGAATGCTCTGGGCAACGCTTGCCAGCCGGGTAGTTTTCCTGTAGTGCCCACCGCTGTTAAACCTCATGTGTGTTGTTTGTGTGTTTATGGCACATGCTTCCTGTGGCTGCTCTGAAATATCCACCCCTCTGCTCCCATGAGAGTTCCTGAGGGCGGGATTTGTCACTTCCTTCATGACTATTCCTCCAGTCTGTTTAAAGCCACCAGAAGGTTTACACCCTACTTTATAATTAGCCCTCTAATAAGTCAGAAAAAAGAAGGAAACATTCAAAGACTCCGTAAATTTTGCAAAACTAAGCTTAAGGTTTCATCTTGGCTCTCTGTAAGATTTTATGGTGACTATTTAATAAGATTCAGAACAGTCTCCCTGGCTTCCCTCCACCCCTCACCCTCTTCCTCGCACTTCTTTACAGTGTGAAATGTGGGAAATGTAAGGAAATTAGTTCCCAATGTTCAAAAAACATCCCCCCAAATCCTGTGTATTTATCTCCCATAACAGCAGTTGGCTCTTCCTTTTTTAAACGTTGCTGGCGGTCACCTAAATGTGCATTATGCTCAGTAAGGCAAAATTAGCTAAAGTTCCCTTCAAGGAAATAACATTTTGTGTATTTCATGAAAATTGGAGCATTTCTTAGCATTGAATCATATTATATATCCAGTTTTTTGTCTTTAAAAAGTACCTTTAAAAATGTAGCATACGGGGCCTGGCCCGGTGACCTAGTGGTTAAGTGTGGAGCGCTCCGCTTCAGCAGCCTGGGTTCGCTTCCCAGGTGTGGACCAACACCACTTGGCGGCGGCCATGCTGGGGCAGCACCCCACATACAAAATAGAGGAAGACTAGCCCAGATGTTAGCTCAGGGACAGTCTTCCTCAAGCAAAAAGAGGAAGTTTGGCCACAGATATTAGCTCAGGGCAAATCTTCCCCAGCAAAAAAAGGTAGCATAATCACCATATAAGAATTGACTAAAATGTTTTAAGGATTGTATTTTTCTTTTTATTAGTCATATCATTAAAGGCCTGACCTTGCAAAACCCTAGTTTGAATCCCATGGGCCATAGGTTTGGTGTTTGCATATTACGTATAATTTACAATCTACATGCCTTATCCAGCTCATATAACGTAATCATTTGACTCTAAGGATGTATTTTAAGGATATCAAAAGATATAATTTTTCAAAGCAATTAGAAAAAACCTACAGTATTTTCATAGGAAGAGATCTCTGTCCTCATTTTGTGGGACACTTGCAGGCACTTAGAGAAAGCGTCCTAACTAGTTGTTTCTCATCTTGCAGAGTGATTTTAGTCTATGTTCACTCTTTGTCCAAATAACCAGGCTGGTCATCCTCTTTCATGTGAATTAAAATTAATATTTCAGAAGAAGGTAGAAACTTTTCCCTGTCCAGGTAAGGAAGATTAATAGAGATTTAGCATGTTTGACTAACAAATACAGATGCTGCAGATATTGAATGCTGATATTTTATTTATGATAAAAATAATCTTTGTGGTAAAAAGTCTATTTGAATTTTAAAAATAAATACAATTATCTTTTCACAGAGGAGATTCTTGTTTCTCAACCTTTTGATTAGCCTTTATACAGTGTGATTTTCCTTCAATAGAATTCATATCAGCGCTTTCTAAAAGATTATCTTTCATAAGCATTGGTACCCAAGGAGTAAAATCACTGCTCACTTATCAAACAAATGATGAGCTGCAGGAGACAACAGAGAGAAGTCCATCAAATAAGCAACCATTAAAACCTGGAGCGTGTTTATTTCTTTTAAAATTCTGGACATTTTCCCCTTAATCCCATCTCTTAGACAGCATTTGTTTAAGTTGGCCATTAAATTGTAGTACTTGGTGAAGCAGTAGAGAAAGAAAAGGCTTTGGAAAGTCAAAAGTCCCAAGAAAATAAATCATCTCCATCAGCAGTACACCATAACCCCATTCAGAACATTCTGGTGTGAAAAGAAAGTCCAAAGAAATGATTACGTTCTGCTGCTATGGAAACCAAAGCAGACAAATCAAGTATTTTGGTTGGATTTGAATGGAAATTAGCAACTCAGATATTCATCAGATGGTTCTAATTCATTCTTTTGATGTGTCTTAGATTTTCACATGAAGGCCAGATCCAGAAGTAAATTTTTATCTGAATTCTGATAGATGGCACTTATAAGCCCAGAAGATGAGCAGCAGTACAAGGCTTTCACCAGAGTCTGGGCACTCTTGTGGATTTTTCAGAATAGAACACGAAGTCAGGAAGCAAAAAGGTTTACAATTAGTAAATAAACCAGTCCCATAAGGAAAAAAATATATATGTGTAAATTAATGATTGATCTTTCTGCAAAATCTTTTCACAACTTTTTAAAGGTGTTGATGGAGTATATGGTCAGTATCTGTTAGAGTCAAGTAATTGTGACCTGATCTACTTTTCTGATTATAAAGTCGTTTATAGTAACTAAGTCTTCATGCCTTTCTCCCCATTAATAAACAGAAAAAAATGAGGAAGAGGAGCAAGAAGCAAAAATGGAACTCAAACGCAGACTCAGCAGAAAGGTGATGAAACTGAGACTGTTAATGAGCGTGTGTGTTTTGAGATATATTTCATTTTTTAAATGCAAATCATCTCTCCACATGTAGATCTGATATTTAGGAATAATTGTTCCTTTAATCTGCTAACTAATCATAGATCTTAAAATCAGCGTAATGCATTCAATATGAATTGTTTTGGGGTCACCCCATGGCCAAGTGGTTAAGTTTGCACACTCCGCTTTGGTGGCCCAGGGTTTTGCCGGTTTGGGTCCTGGGCGTGGACATGGCACCGTCCATCAAGCCATGCTGAAGCGGCATCCCACGTGCCACGACTAGAAGGACCCATAGCTAAAAATACACAACTATGTACTGGGGGGCTTTGGGGATGAAAAGGAAAAGTAAAATCTTAAAATATATATATATGAGTTGTTTTATATTTATAATAAATATAAATATTTATAATATATTTATAATAAATGATCTGTTAATTTTGAAAAGTTAACAGTGGAAAGTGTTAAACTGCATTTAATGATTATAAAAATAACGTATAATCTTTGTGGAAATTTTTTTAAATGCGGAAAAGAAAAGAAAATTACAAAAAAGTCTTCCATTCAGGGATAACCCATTTCAATGTATGGTTTTAAAAAATGCTCACATTTTCCATGTAGTCTTGGAAATATTGAGTCAATATTTTGTTACTATGGCAGACTTGCCACTGCTCCATATCTGGGCTGCATGAGTAATTTATTAAGTGAACGTGATCATCCAGTCTGCCTGCCACAGTGCTCCCCAAATTGACAGGTGGCTCACCTCCAAAACTCAGACAGTTGTTTCCACCCATTTATGAAAATATAAATCTGATACTAGGGCCTTGCTTTTTTCTGTAAGTGTTAAAACCGTAATAGTCTTTGGAAAAATTAAGCACTGAAAGAGTTTATGTTTCATTGTAAGTCGTTGTTCAGTAATTCTTCAGATATACCTTTCACACCTGGAAACGGCAGGATGAGCAGTGCTGATCAGGCAGGGAGGGGTGTGACCTGACCCACATTTATCTGGGCTGGCTGGGGAGTCTGCAGCAAAGGCGTTCTAAGGCAGGTAGAATTCCAACTCTTCCCTTGGAAAAGTTATAGAGACAGTATTTTGATAGTTTTTGTTTTTGCTTTTTAGGGAAAAAGATCCTTAATTCATCCCTTTTTTTCCTCAAAGTCTCTGCATATCAAATAATGATTTAGCTGAAAAAGACTCTGTAAATTGAATTTCTGGCTATGGCTCTTGTAGCGTTCAGTGGCTGTCAAGTTACCAGCTCCAGATCAGCAACAGCCCCTCCTCACTGCTCCAGGCTCCCCCCTGCCGTGCTTATGATCTTTTCTCAGTCCGTTGGGCCTTCCAGGAGGCAGCAGAGCCTGCCCTGCCTTGCTGACCCCACTTGCCTCCACCATGCAGAGCTCCCTGCCGTCGGTGCAGGATAGCCCGTAACACTGATAGCTACCCCATGACTAGCACAGTCCTGAAAGGCAAGACTGGATGGAGAATTTCTGACCTGTGTGGCCATTGGTCCCTTGCCTTTTGGGCAGTCCCCAGAGGGAAGGGTTTCTCTACCTTCTTAACCCACTTGTCCTGGAGAGGCAGTAAGAAGCTGACAGTACAGACTGGACAGCAACTGAGAGTATAACAGAACCTCTTAGATTATTCTTTCCTTTTCCATGGTCCCCCAGGGCTTTAGGAAGACGAGGAGCTGCAGCGGCCGTATTCCAGCTCAAGTGGGCTCAGGATGTAGACCCAGACCTTCTAAGAGTGCTTGAAGGCCTTGAATGTTTGAGCATTGACCTAGTTCAGCCTCAGGTTTTACTCAAGGGGAAACCAAGACCCAGGAAAAGAGATGTTTTTGACCATAAAAATACTTTTTGTGTGTGTGATAGTGCTTAATTTTTGCCCAAATTGAGCCTATGCAAATAAGGAACACCTCCAAAGAGGACCACTTAGACAGTGGATCGTCTGGCTGAATACAGAGGACATGTAAGAGAGAAGAGATACTGACAGTGGACCCTATGCGTAAAACAGAGGCCCAGGTCTGCCTGTCTGACGCACCTCCCCACTGAGAAAGCCCACAAAAACGTGAACCCCAGCAGCAGAGGGCAGGTGATGTCCACCTGGGAGCCAGGTTTCTTCAGTCCACCAGAACCATGGCTGTCTTATTCTTGGGCTTGAGAAAGGACCAAGAGAGGAAAGCAGATCCACACAGCGCTGGGAGATTAAATATAACTATCAGCTTGAATTTGACCAAGACCACAGTTTGGAACCCAAGTCATTAGAAGTGTCTTAAAGGTTACAGCTGATTTAAGCAGTTAGGGCCCCACTGAAGTCAGCTCTCCAATGACTCCACCTCCTCATTCCTGCACATCAGCTCTTCTGGCCAAGGGTGAATATCACATGGGGGCCCGGGCCCCTAGTCTGTCACGGAAGACTGCCATAGGCACGCCCTTCCCTGCACCATTTCTTTGTCATAACTTTGTGCATTTCTGAATAGACAGGGTTAATAGAATAGGAACAGAGATTTTTATTCTTGTTTCTAAAAGTTTCAAGGCTTTTGTCTTGATAATCCAATCCCCAAACCAGCTATCCTGTATCTGGATTACTATTGTGTCTGTGTCACTCCATGTTCCCTGTGGCAGGGATGACAGACACCTTTATCACAGCGCCAGGCAAGTTGGGGAAAAGAGTATAATGCAGATGGTTGCCAACCACTGTGACCTAACTAACAGTGATGATTTTTATAGTCTCAAAAATTAGGGCACACTGCTCTCTAGTTCTCATTAGAAACTCCCAAGATGCTGATGCCTTTTTTTTTTTTTTTGGATATCTGAAAGTGACCTTATTTAACCATAACTTTGAAGTTCTCTATAGAAAACTTGCCACTGTGAGGCTGTAAATGGTTTACTGAACTCGTCCTTTTTTCTCTCTCCTCCTGCAGCTCAGCCTGAGACCCACCGTGGCAGAGCTACAAGCTCGAAGGATCCTGCGGTTTAATGAGTATGTTGAAGTCACTGATTCTCCCGACTATGATCGCCGGGCAGACAAGCCCTGGGCCAGGCTGACACCTGCAGACAAGGCAAGAACCCCAGTGGCCTTAGCTATGATTTTATTTATTTATGATTTTATTGCTTTTCTAAAAGCTCCAAAACCCACTTACCCACACTTAGTCATCCTTGAAGGTTAGATATTATCAAATATCCCACAATTTTCTGCCTTTGATTATTTATGCCGCTTGAGTGATATATTTAGACTTTCAACTAAGTCTCGGGAAAAACTAGTTCTCAGTTACCATGGAACCTGACTACATTCAAACCTGAGTGGGGCAGGCTTTCCCACAGCCGTGATTTATCCTTACTCTTAGAAAATATAACTTGCACAGGTTATCATTTTAAAAGGATGTATTAACAGTGGAGAAGATATTGATCTATATCAAGGCTGGCACACTTTTTCTATAAACGGCCAGAGAGTAAATATTTTATTTTTATTTATTTATTTATTTTTGAGGAAGAGCTAACATCTGCTGCCAATCCTCCTGTTTTGCTGAGGAAGGCTGACCCTGAGCTCACATCTGGGCCCATCTTCCTCTGCTTTCTATGTGGGACGCCTGCCACAGCGTGGCTTGCCAAGTGATGCCACGTCCACACCCGGGATCTGAACCAGGAACTCTGGGCCGCCGAAGCGAAACGTGCACACTTAATCACTGCGCCACTGGGCCGACCCCCAGAAAGTAAATATTTTAGACTTTGAGGGCCACACGGTCTTTGTTGCAATGGCTCAGCTCTGCCATTATAGCGTGAAAGCAGCCGTAGACAGTAGGTCAGTGAGTGGATGGATGGAGGTTCCAGTAAAACATTATTTACAGTCCGGATGGTGGGCCGGATATGGCCTGCGGGCAGTGGTTTCCCAACCCCTACTCTATACCATGGCTCACGGCTCAGAAAAACTGAAATATATAGAGGGCTCCATCATGGAGAAAGACTTATTTTATGAGTACTATGACTCCATAGCCAAAAGTTTTGCCAACCATTTGTTTTCAAATTCTCCACTGTAGGATTTTCTTAATATCCCAAATAATATTTCTAATTTTTGTCTCTAAGCAAAATTTGGTATTTAATAAACTCATACCATACCCAGTCTTAATGCTAAAACTAGGTATTTAATTTCACTCTGTGATGATGCTTTTTAGTAGGAAGTTTCATTCTGTAAAGTACCTACTATGTGTCAAGCACGTATTGGAGATAGAGATTCAGAATGTGCCCAAAAGGAGGCGGCTTCCCCAAGGCTGGTGAGAGCACTCAGGTTGAGGGCAGCCATGAGGGGATGAAGAAGGCTGATACTCAGGTACCTGTATCAATCTCACCGTCAATCAATGTCGTGTTCCTGAAGGAAATGTCAAGTTTACGGGTTACCAAGAATTGCCTGTAAACTACTTGATGTGATTTCTTGCCCTCACGCCTGCAGCTCCCTGTGTAGAGTCCAGCCCCTGCCGTTCCCTGGGTTAGCAAGAGGAGGAGTGCCTGCCTTGAGGGCCCTGTGGTCTGGTCAGAGGAGACAGTCATGTACACAAGTGCAGCGAGTGACACAGTGGATGGAGATGGAGGATTCTGAGGCAAGCCCTCCCAGCCTTGAGGTCATCTCATTAAGTCTGGTGTGGCCCGCAGAAGCAGCGTGCGCCCAGCGCTGCCCACCCGTCATGCCCAGGTCTCCAGTAACTAGTCATGGGGTGTGAAAAACATGACTTCCTCTGGGAGCCCTCTCACACTGGTGTGAAACACAGCTATGACCGTTGAGTGTATTTCATCCTAGTCACAGCCCTTGACCAGCAGCCTCTGCCTTCCCTGTTCTACCTCACCATTAGTTGTGAGTGGTTTCCACTGCTTTATCGCCATTCCTTCCGGCTCTCTCTCCTCACCGTTCAGCAGCGGTGGACTTGACTTGCCACCCCACATGGTGTCTGACGCCCCACAGAGAAACACAAGGCCGTAGGTCCGATGCAGCCTCTAGGATGAGTGTTAACGGTGGATGACACTTCCTTCTCAACACCAGCCCCATCTCAGGTCTTGTCTTCCACATTCTTCGGGCATTTTTTTATTTTACTTTTTAGTTGTGAATATATCACGTATGGCAAAGAATGTATGAAACAAACGTACCATTTAGATAATAAAAAGAACACACCTGTTTAATTAATGCCTACCTCCCAGGTTAAGAACCTTACTAGGGTGTTACTAGTACCTGAACAGGCCCCTGCGTGCTCCTCCTCAGGTGCATTCCCCTCCCTTCTGTAAGGAAGAGCCACCACCCTGACTTTGGTGTTAATCATTCCCTTTCTTTTTTTGTGGTAGTAGTTTAACCACCTTCATATAAATCCTAAACAATACATATGTATTTCTTGGTTTTGTCATTTTGCAGTCTATGTTATGGGGATCATACAGTGTTCTCCTGCGTGGCGCGTCATTCAGTCAACGCCAAAGAATCTGGGTTGATGCACTAGGCGATAGTTCATTCTTTTTCACTGAAATATAAAATTTTGTTGTATGTATAAGTCACAAAGTAATCATTCATTCAGTTGTTGATGATTATTTAGTTGTTTTCCAGCTTCTAGGTTTACAAGCAATATTCTGTGAAGATTCCTGTACTATCTTCAGGTTCACCCATCCAAGACTTTTTCTAGTATATATTCCTTGTGATGGGGTTGCTGGGTCCTGGAGTGGATGCGTGTTCAACTATACTAGCAATGTCGTCTGCCTTCTAAAGTCATTGGTCCACTTTATCCTCCCACTGGCTGAGGCTGACACTTCCCCTGGTCACGTATCCTTGACAATGTTGGACAGTCAGCCTTTTTTGTTTTTCTTTTCTTTGCTTGACAACTTAGTAGTTGTGAGGTAACATCTCGTTGTGGTTTTACTCTGCCTGTCACTGATTATTAATGAGATCGAACATATTTTCATGCCTGTTGGGCGTTTTGTTCCCCTTTCATTCAGTGCCTATTTTTGGCCTGTTTTCTTTTGGTGTGTCAAATTCTTGTTGATTCATAGGAGCTCTTCATATATTCTGGTTTTATATATTACAGATACATATGTATCTTCTCCGAATTTATGATATTTCATTCTCTTTATGGCATCTTTTGACAAAAAGAGATTCTTAAATTTAATACTATGAATTTACCGGCTTTTTTCTTTATGGTTTGTGATTTTGTTTGCTTGAAAAGAGTTCTTCCGATACCAAAATCACAAATGTATTCTCCTATACTATTTTCTAAAACATTTATACTTTTGCTTTTCACATTTAAGTGCTCAGTTTACCTAGAATAGATATTTTTAGAAGGTGTAAGATATGCTTTTAGCTTTGTTGATTATCTCCAGTATATGTTTGTTTTCTGTGTTGTTTTTTGTTCTATCTTCTTTCTCCCAATTTTTTTGACTTAATTTGGCTGTTCTTTTCTAACTTAAGATGGACTCTCTAAATCATTAATTTTCATCCTTTTTTATTTTCTAATATAAGCACTGAGGGCTATCAATGACCCTGGATGTCAGTGGTTCTCCGCCTGGGCCACATGTTGCAATCACCAGGGAAGATTTAAGAATGCTGGTGGCTGGGTCTCACCACCAAAGATCCTGAGTTACTAGGACTGGAGTGTGTCCTTACGCATTGAATGTTTTAAGTATGTGGTCGGTAATTATAAATGTCCCTATAGACTTGCAAACAATGTGCGTTCTACAGTTTTGAGGTGTGGAGTTCTAATTATATCTGAAAGTTCAAGCTTGTTAGTCTCATTCAGATTTCTGTATTCTTACTCATTTTTTTTGTCTGCTTGATCTGTCCCGTACCAGAAGAGGGATATGTGAAATCTCCCACCACATTTATGGATTTTTTTTCCTTCTCTTTACAATTCTGTCAATTTTGCTTCATCAATTCTGAGATTGTGTCAATAGATGAATGTAAGTTTAATATAATTAAATTTTCCTGATGAAACCTTTATTATGAGACTCTATCTCGAGAAATGCTTTTTGTTGTAAAGCCTGTTTTATTCTTAGATTATCAAGGTGAGTTATTGTCGACCACCTTAGTACTGTGAATTCAGGCTACAAACCCATGTGAGTGCTGACTTATGGATGCAGATTCTCAGTGTAGATTTTATCCTCCCTTCCTCGCCCACTAAGCACCAGCATGAAATTTTATTTGCTGTCCTCTCAGGGTCGGAAATTCTAGTCCACTCTTACACTGAGGGTGTGCCATATGGGCCAACTTTATGGTGGGAACATCATTTATTAGACATGCCACATTGGGCAGGCAAGTCTGTGGTCTTCAGTATCTCACCAGGCTATGAAAATGACTGCTGAAAGTCACCAGATTTAACATAACAAATACCCTCAAGGTCAAAGCCAGTTTGAATGCTCTGCTTACCTCATTTTTCTGGGCTTCATCTTAAAAAGTATTTTTTACTCTCTTACCAGCTGGTCAGTACATTTCAGATAATTTTTAAATGTTATGTTCAGCATTTTAGTTGTTTTTCAATTAGATTCAATTTAGTTGTCTTCAGGGTCAAGGCACATGGTGTGTCATTTTGCAAGAAAGAGTATACACATTTGTACAAGTTTTCTCCCATTCTCCTAGGCTTTTAGTTGTGGACTTTTGGTCACTCACCTCTCACTTAGTGACTCCTTGTTGGCCCTGTTCAGTCACCACTTCTGAGCAATGAACCACCCCAAAACTTAGTGACTGAACACAACTATTTTGTTAGATCTGACAGATTTGAGAAGTCGGGGATTTAGTCTGAGCTCAGCTGGGTGATTCTTCTGCTCTTCGTGGGGTTGACTCAGGTCACTCAGTGTTGCTCAGCTGACAGACGGGCTGCTCTGGTAGAAGCTGCATGGTCTTATCTGACCCAGCTTTAGAAGGCACCCAGCCGCCTTTCCGCCACATTCTCTTAATTAACAGGCACGTCATAAGGTCAGCCCAGATTCAAGGAGAGAGGAAGTAGCTCTGCCCCTCGAGGGGTGAGTGGCGAAGTCATATTGCAGAAGAACATGTGGGCTGGAGGTGTTATTGCCGCCATCTTTGGAAAATTCAGGTAGC